TATTTGGCCTTGTTTTTTCTGTCACGGCCCAAAGCAAATTCGTTCAACATTAAAAAGACACATTCTGTACAGTAATTATACAAACGAATGATTCTGCCCTTCCTTTGTAAAAGGCTTTTAGATAGTCACAGATCTTGGTATGTTTTGTTATTAAGGAAAGAGAATGGATGAAACTAACCTGGCTACTTCCTACAGATCAAATTACACACCTGTGGATGTGACTGCTGCTCCGACCATCTGTCCAGGTTTGTCCACAATAACGTATGGGTTATTAATGACTGAACTAGCAGACCCCAGCTTCATGTGCACTGGAGTGGAGGTTGGGGTACGAGGTAGTGGAGATGGGCTTGGGGTTGATATTGGAGAACCTTTGGGGGGGGAAAAAAGAGCCCAACATTTCCATCTCAAGTTTCACAAGGACATAAAAATGCAGTAATAAAATAATGACTTGGAGTTTGTGCATTCAGCTGAAGGTGCACTTCTAGCCTGAGAAGGATCCAGCAGCTGCAGGGATAGGTAGAGCTGCATGACCCCATATTCCCCCTTACTGTCAATATACTCCTGTAAATAAGAGCAAAGTGCCGAGCAGCTCTTTGAAGCCATTTACCTGCCTTTACCTTGTCAGCCACCCACAAGAATAGCTCATGAATAAAGGCTTGTTAGCTCAGGCAGTCATCCACCAGGCCAAGCCTCTATCTTATCCCACAGTCAGCACAAGAGCCCCTAAGAGCACCATTGTGTAGCCTTTTGGTAAGTGGAAAGGGGATTGGGGGGAGGGGGGGAAGCACAAAACATATGAGCTAAAATGGGAACAGACACAAAAGGACAGAAAAAAAGATGGCAACTGCTGCATTGGGGAACCAGAGCAAGGGGACATTATGTGAGAGAAGGCGATCCTCCAGTAATTGGCTCTCTTGAGAGGGAGGGCAGGAGGATCATCAACTAACATGGAGCAGAAACACTCCGTCCAGAAAGACCCTAAAGATTCACAGCAATTGCCACAGTCCAAAAGGAGTCTGGGGTCTTAACAGGAAACAAATGGCAGTCAGCAAAGCCTAGGAAATATTTAAACAGGGGAACATCTGAAACAGCAAAGCTTGATAGAAAAAAGCCGAGAGGTTACGAGGAAGGAAAGATGGTTCCTATAACTCTCACCCACTGGACAGCATCAGAGTCTCACTCGTGACCAAGAAGAGAAGAACAGTGGGACAGTACATTAGATAACTGCATCTGGCACACATTCAAACAGGCTGCTAGTGCCCTGTGTAGAGCTTTAAGATTACAAGGGCAATTGGCAGAAGAGAAAACAACCACACACAGAAGTCAAGTGGGAACAGTCAACAGCAGGCAGCTTGGTACCCAGACTCTCCATACTCTAAGCGAACACCAGATGATGGTGGGGCTTTACAGGCAGGCTCCCAGTTTCCTAAGTGACCCAGTAGCGTGGGCCATTAAAGATTTTTGATGCAACAGTACAGCCAAGAGGGAGGCATTGCGTCAGTGAAGAGAATGCACGTTATGTTTGGCAGACAAGAGACCAGTAGTGAAGAGTTAACAATGCAGGCAAGAGAGGCATGACTGTGTGTGTCTGAGAAAGCTACTAAAAGGAAATAATTTTGCCAACTGCAAACAGCCGCTTATCTAAACAGGACACAGGGAATTACTATTAATGGGGAATGGAGGACACAATCTGATTCTAGGGAGGGGACTTTGTTTTTCCCATAGTAACAATTTACATACAAGTTTAAACCCTGTCATTTCTCTGATAATGACAAATAAAAAAATTGTGCCCGCTTTACCCAGTCCTGTAGTTTGGAAATTTGCAAATGGAAGAAGCCCTTCTTCCCACACGCAACCCCGCATATTCAAGATGAATTCCAATCGATATTCATGTCCAAGCCCAGCAGAAGAGGTAGCTGTCTTACTAACTGGTGATTTCAAGTGGATCACTGGTGGAATTTGTGCCCAGTAAGAAACTAAAACCAGTTCCCATCCCAATTTTAATCTTGAATTCACAAATTCATTATACCTTTTGCATAACTATTTAAGAAAGGATGAAATTTGTTTACTAGATCATACTGGATCTCCCTACAGTCTACCTTTTAATATTAGCGTGAAAATGGGAAAGGACACAAAGCAAGACCAACCAGTTCAATCTCACTGTTCAGTATGAAGTATGATACTGAGACTAAAATGTACCTGATACGATCTTGCAGCTCATGGTGATGGGCTGGAAGGATTTTCCTGGAGATTCTGCAGGGCTCGGGATCTGACCCTGAGGCACTATTTTGCAACTAGCTGCAATTGGCTGAAAAGCTGAATTTCCATGAGAGCCAAAGGTTACTTTCTGTGTTGCCAATTTGGTGGGAGTCCGTTCTACTGAAGATGGCAGGGAATAAAAAGTGGTATGTCTTTCAGTTTCAGCATTCACAGGGAATCCTGATTAAAATAGGGAAAAGAGAAATGTTTCTCAGGCTGAGTCAAGTTCCTTGCTGCGTTTCTCTACAGAGACAAAACTTAAGATATGACAAACATGTCCATAAATATAAAACATAAGAAGTGGGGCTTTTGGCTTTGATTTTTTTTATTTTCATGTGTTATTTTGCTGGATACTTCCTAAACAAAAAAATTAAGAAATCAGATTAACCACATACTGTCTTACCCAATATGCAGTCATTCACATTGGCTTTTGGCATAATTTTCATAAATCACACTGATTTACCTAAAACTAAGTTTTGAGTGTCCATAGACAGATCCACATAGTCAAGGGGAAGTTCCCCTAGAAGTAAATTCCTGTCACTGCATACTTAGGAGTGATTATCTAGGGGCATAGAGGCTGACTTCCATCCTCTTAATGACTGAGGAGCTCAGTTACTCATTGACTAATAGGCCACAGGGAAAATCACTATGGAGACCCCAGATGTACTGAGTGCCTCTGATCAGGTCTAAAAAATGTTTGTGTATTGATAGTTTAGATGCCTGCAATTTCCTTCTTTGGTGTGAGACCATCAAAAGCATTCACTGAAATCCTGAACCTTCTTCCTTTCACCTTCCCTGCCCTGCCCTGAAACACAGAACCACTGCCATAGCACACTGCAGGAGTGGATGACATGGATGGAAAGAATGGCTGTGCCACAAAAACATGAGCACTCAACTGGATGAGTTCCACCAGGAGATTTTACCAGAAGTCAGGGTAAAATAAGGCCTCAAAGCAACTGCTATCAGAACCAGCCAATGCTCCATAGGCTAGCATTTTGTAGGGGATAAATTGTTCCCTTTCACTATATACTTCTGCATACCAGAATACAGATACTAAACACGAAGACAAAGAGTCTCCCTCTTTTCATCCCAGCTAATAAAAAGAATTGTTCCACACAACTAGTCATTGTAACACTCATGAAAAAGTAAAATGGCAGCAGAATCAGGTGACCTAGAAATGCTTTACTGCTCTCAATTCAAATGATTTTCCAATCTCAATCACTAGAACATTCAAAAGGACACACATGACTATTAAAGAAATGGAGTTCATGTGATCTTCAGTGGCACCTGTCCCTAAAGGAAAACAGCAATGGTGAGACAAGATCGCACTGATCAACAGATAGCTGAAGCAGTGTTGTTATAAGGAGGGCTTCAGGATGTGCAACCACTGGGAGGTATTCAGTGATACAGAACTGTCCACAATAGGATGAGACTCCACTGGAGTAGGAAGGGAGATTTCAACTTTTAAACTAACATTCTGGGAGCAACAGGTGGAAGATACTCCTATAAACTCCATATCAGATTCTAATATTAAGTTGGAGGAAAATCAAGTGAAAGATGATACAGCAATAGAGAAAGGAACAACGGAAGATAGGAGAACAGCTAAGACAGTATCAATATCATACAGTAACAGTTGGGTAGTCAATATTAGCAGTAAAATGACTATCTAGCAAGCAAAGAATCTGTCAGAAGCCACAAACAACTAAGGAGCCTAGATAACAAAATGGATGAAGTAAAACTACTGGTGCAGAAAGTGAAACTTGGTGTTGCACCATATTTTTGTTATCCTGTAATAGTAATCATGACTGGAGTATAGGTATTGAAAGGTATGTGTTAATCAGGAAGGACAGAAATAAAGGTAAAAGTGGTGGAGTAGCACTGTATGTTGATGACAGGGTAGAGTGTAAAGAAAGTAGAAGTAACAGAAAAAGAAAGGGAATATGGGTTAAAATCAGTTTGGGTAAGCAAGGCAACAGAGGCTCCGCTGGGATAGTGCTTGAGATCTGCTCAGGCTCCCATAATAAAGATCATTATTAGGATGTTATTTTACATTTAGTTTTGGCAGATAGCAAGGACCTCAGGAAAGAGGATAGGCAGTAGAGGACAGGCTTGGTTCAAGTGAGCATGAGTTAGTCCAGTTAAAACTAAATGGAAGGAGAAACAAAAATGGTCTGCAACTAATGTCCTTGATTTTAAAAGGGCAAATTTTTAAATAATTAAGGGAATTAGTTATAGGGATGTGAGCAGCCAGCCTTAACTGGTGATGCTTACTGTGTAAGGTTAACCAGTACCTGGAAGAAGCCTCCTGCTTGCAGACAATTGTTCCAGCCCCACCAGACCATCAGAGCCCCCCCCCCCATCCTCTTGCCCCTCTGCCCAACCCCCCTGTATGCAGTTAACTGGTTAAACACTACATTTAATGAGTTAACCAACCAAACAGGATTTTACATCACTAATTTAAGGAAATGGATTTGACTAACAATCTCAAGGATTTGAATTTGGAGGAGGCTTGGAATTACTAAGTCAAAATTGCAGAAACTAGCTGCATGCCAAGCAAGAAGAAAAAATTCATAGGGAAGGGCAGCAGATGAAACTGGAAGAATAAGCATCTCAAATGGGATATTATAAAAAAAAGCCTACACGGAATGGATCATCAAGGAAACAATTAAAACCCATGGTTGGCCCATGCCAGCAGACTTAGGCTCACAAGGCTCAGGTTAAGGAGGCTGTCTAATTGCAGTGAGACACTGCAGCCCAACCGCTGGGCAGGAGGAGGATGTTAGACGAGGGGGTTCTCTGCGACTGTGGGGCCTATTTCCGCTCTTCTCTGGTGTCACGAATCCGGGCAGAGTTCCTCTGGGCAGCGTCCACTGGCTCCATCGACAGCTTTGAGGAGCAGTGGGCGCTGTCCGGGGTTCTCTGCTCGGTGTCCCCATCCGTCTCCCTTATTTTAAACCTGTGACCCGCACTCCTTGACCCTGTAGTCATTTTTTGTCCCCCGGATTCAATTGAACATGGGTTCAGTGTCCCTCCCATAAGGTTGGGAGGGGCTTTTAGAATGTGGGCGGGCTTTGCCCGCCCACCTTCCCATGATTTCAAATAGGCCCAACCCCTGGGACCCTCCCACAATTAA